GATAAGTAAAAACCTTATCAGACCATCCATAGTTTCACAGTGATCTCATTCACGGACCACAGTACAGAATCCAAACAGATGAAAAATATATCACTTTCTTTAGAAGCCAGCAATGATCTGATAAGGATTTGACAATGGAAGTTATGGGAGAATAAAAGGGATTGCAGAGCATAGCCCCTATTAGAACCAGCTAACTTTCCAGATTTTCCAAATTTAAAAAATAAATAAATACAGCAAAAGAAACACTTCAACATGAAGCTACCATACAAAGTTCTTCCATTTTACTTTGTAAAAATTCAGAGCTTAATCCTGGGACTTTTTTGCATGGACTTTCAATTTCCCAGGATAATTTTTTGTTCTTTTTGCAGCTGTTGCCATTCTTGCTCATTTCATCCTTTCCTCATAAATGTTTCTTTGTTCTTAAACAAAGAAACCCTTTTGGCTTGTGCTTCTGCAATTTTTCGGTTATTTTCTTCTAGTATTCACCTTAGCTCCTCACGTTTTGCACGTTGTTCCTCCTCTGTAGCTTCCTGTGCTGCGAGCTCAGCTTGTCTCTGTCCCTGGAGTTCTTCTAGCAACTGCTTTTCCATGATGCTTTGACTTCCTCCACCCTTTGGAGAACTTCTCGCTCAATTTCATCCTTCCTTTTCTCCAATTCTTTCTCTACCTTTTTTGTCACCAATTCTTCCACTGTTAGTGCTGTTTCTTCCTCGATTAGTTTTACTTCTGTTTCCTCTGCCAAATCTTTCTTGTCCAGAGTGCTGTGCTTGATGACCACGTGCCTTTAGAAGGATGAGGTTCGGTGGGGGCAAAGTGGGCTCTGGGGGATGCCTCCAAGTAGGTGGAGCACAAGCTCAAGCAAGAGCTGGAGCAGCTGAGCTTCTTGCGCTTGGTGCTCTTGGGGTACTTGGAGCAAGATGAGCTCCTGGTTCCGAGACAAGCCCATCCTTCTGCGATGCTCCAAAGACCGCTGGCCTCAGGCCCCTTGCACACACCCCTCACTGCTGCCCGGATGGGAGCTGGCTGACCTGTGGAAGCCCCAAAATTTGTGTCTCTTTGAGGCCCATACCTCCACACAGGCCACCTCTGATGGGAAGGCTGCAATGCAAGGAGTCCTGGTTCATTCTGCTGTGTGCTCCCCCATTGGATTTCTAGAGGGAATCTTTCTATCTGGGCAGTGTACTTCTTTAATTTATATATTAATTGGTATATTTTAGGTATACAATACAAGGACAGACATGTGTAAATATCAAATAGTATCTCTAGTGTGGGCAGTGTACTTTTCATTTGTGGACTTCCTAAATTTTGATGCTTTTTCTTTCTTAGCCTTTCCAGTTTGTACACACATTCATCCTCACTTATCCATGGTGTGGCTTTCTACAGCCGCAATTACTTGGTGTCTACTGCAGTTCCATTATTTCAAATGGAATAGTCAAGGAGTAATAATTCGTACATTTTAAATATCCCTTACTATGGTATTTTTAGCAGAACTTTATTTTTAAAAATGAGACTCAAGTTGTATCTTCATTTTTAAAACTGAATGCAAAATCAAAGTGTACAGTATACAATGATAAATTCTAATAACAGAAGGGGCTGCAGGAATCATATAGCCCTGCACTGTGGTGCAGCCTCTCCAGGAGCTGAGTACCTGCTGGTCCTGCTGTTGGGTGAGATCCGGACTTGACCTACATCAACCACAGTTCATGTCAGGAGCTGTCACCAAGCTCACAGACTCCACTGGACACCAGGGATGTGTTAGTCACTTAGGGGATTCTGCAGGCCATCAGATCACACTGGAGACTCATAGGTCCCTCATCAAATCAGGATCCCAGTGCCTCTGTGTCCTCTGATGTTTTCACTTCTCTTTCTCTCATTTCATTACACCATAGTCTCTTGTCAGACTTTTGTGTCCTTCCTCATTTTAAAAAGTAACAGTATCGGATGATTTCTGTAGGGCATGAATGTTCATGCTCTATGATTCCATTATTGTTTCAGATGTCCTACTACTTTTTTATATAAGTACACACCTGCAGTGTATGCTGAGTGACTACATACATCATGGGTGTTGGTACAAGTAAGTAACAGACCTCAATTCTTTTTTGATCCCCTTTCCTACTGCTCTGTACTTCCTCTCTTTGTCCTCATCCAGTTACACATGGAGACTTCACTCTTCAGTCCAGCCTGTGTCTCAGCCTCCAAACACCCCAGGTCCTGACTTTTGATTGTGAGGGGACCCTTCCATCCTGCCCTGCTCAGGGCCACTTTCCTCCCATCCAAAGGAATCAGAGTCTCCAGATATGACCCAGAGCACTGAGACTGTAGAGTGTATGCAGTGCTGAGCAGCACATGGAGGACATGTACCACTGACCAGTGTGTTCACATGTCTTGATTACCTTTCATGTTCCTGGGCACAATGATCTTCAGATCACAGCTCCCACCTCAGTGTGTGGAGGAGCCTCCTAACACACTGGAATAGTTCCACTGAGTGAAATCCCCAGGCCAGTTATGCATTTTTAATGATTGTAGTCCTGTAATATGATGTTGTTAACTTTTTCTGGAACCTAGGAGAGAAATAGGTGGGTCAAGTGGAATTTCTATTGTAATTTAAAAAATAATTTCCCTAGTGGTTGTATAAGTTTACATTTCTTTCAACAATGGATTATTCTTCTTTTTCTAGAACCTTGAGATATATCATTGGTTTACTTATTTGGGTTTCCTGTTTTTCTGATGTGGACATTCATAGGTATAAACTTTCCTCTTAGGACTGCTTTCACTGTGTCCCATAGGTTGTGGTGTATTGTACTGGCATTATTTCTTGATTCAAGAAACTCCTTTTAATATTTTCTTTGATTTCTTCTATGACCCATTGAATATTCAAAAGTGTGTTTTTTAATGTTGAGGTGTTTGTAAAATGTCTGTGGTTTCTTTTGTTGTTGTTTTCTAGTTTCTGTGCACTATGATCTGGTACTCTACATGGAAAATTTTGATTCTTTTTATTTATTTAACGAAGTTTTATAGGCCAATATGTAGTATTTTTGGAGGAAAGCTTCGTGAACTGCTGAGAAAAATGCATATTGTGTCAAAGTAGTTGAGAACACACTGTAGATACACATTAGGACTATTTGTTGGAAGGTGTGCTTTAGCTCTGATATTTTTTTTTGATGTTTCATCTCCTTGATTGGTTTAAAATTCCCCACTATTATTGTGTTGGTGTTTATTTGACATTTTCTGTTTTATGAAGTGGGGCATGCTTGTAATTGATGCATATATATCAATTGATATCTCTTCCTATTGAATTGTTCCTTGAACTAATATGCTGTGACCTTCTTTACCTCATCTGATCTGTTTTGGTTTGAATCTCACTTTGTCTGGGAATAAGATTGCTACCCCTGCTGCTTTTTGGGTCCTGATTCACTGAATATTTTTTTCTATCCTTTGTTTTTTACTTAGCAGTGCGTTTGCTATTCTGTATTTTCTGTTTCCATATGAATTTTGGATTCTTTTCTCTAGTTTTGTGAAGAATGTCATTTGAATTTTGATGGGAATTGCATTGAATCTGCAGATTTCTCTGGTAATATGGCCATTTAAGTAATATTTATTCTGCCAGTCTATGAAAATGGGAAGTCTTTCTATCTTCTGGTGTTTCCTTCAATTTCCTTCTTTAGTGTACTGAAATTTTCATTGTGGAATTATTTTACCCTGTTGTATACATTGACCCTTAGATATTTTATTTTTTCAAGGTATTGTGAATAAAATTATTTTCTGATTTCTTTCTTAGCTAATTATTGGTGCATAGAAAAGCTGCTGACAATTTTTTTGTGTGTGTGTAGTACTGGACCTTGTGCTTGCCAGGCAGGTGCTGTGCCACTGAGCTACATCCCTGCCCCAGCTATTGACTTTTTAATGTTGATTTTTATATCCTGAATCTGGCATTTTAAGACTTCATCCCACCCAGTGATTGCAAGATCCTCTTCTGGGCTGTCTTCACATCCTTGTTTCTCAGGGTGTAGATCAGTGTGAGGAGCACTCGTGTGATTACACAGTAGAAAGTGGACATGTACTTGTTCTGGGAACTCTTATCTGAAGGCTGGAGGTACATCTAGATGGCAGGACCAAAGTACATGGTGACCACCACCAAGTGGGAACTGCAGATGCTGAGTGCCTTGTGTCTTCCTTCAGCTGAAGGTAGCTTCAGTTTAGCCCTAGCAATGAAGGTGTATTAGATGACCACCAGCAGGGGAGCAACCATTCCAAATGGGATGGCTCCTATAGCCAGGGCCAGGTCATTATCAGAGGTATGTAGAGGTATCCCCACAGGCCAGCTTGATAAGCACAGGTATCTCACTGCAGAAGTGGTCCAGGGTGTGGTGCCCACAGAGGGGGACCTGGAGGGTGAGTGTGGTTTGGAGTAGAAAATTGGCCAGGCCACTGAACCAGGAGGCAGCTGCCATCTGCATGCACATCCAGGGATGCATCATGGGAGTGTACTGTTGCAGCAAGCAGATGGCCACGTACCAATCAATGGCTATCACAGCCAGCAGGACACATTCAGTGCAAGCAGTCCAGTGAAAGAGATAGGATTGTGTAATGCAGCCCCAGGCAACAATTGTCTTGCCTGTTCCCAAGAGATTGACTGGTAGCTGGGGCACAGTGGTACAGGTGGCACCGAGGTCTATCATAGAGAGGTTGTTCAGGAAGAAGTACATGGGCATCTGGAGTCTGGGGTCCACCAGGAAGGGGAGGATGATGGAACTGTTCCCCACCAGTGTGAGGAGGTAGGAGACCAGTATCACTGCTGAGAGGGGCCTCTCCAGCCACAGAAATGCTGAGAAGCCAAGCAGGACAAAAGTGTTTGGAAAGCTGATATTTTCCCTTTCCATGGTACCTGCCTTATATGTGCCTAGCAGGAAAGACACATTTGAAGATTTGCAGTATTTTTCAATTTTAATAATTTCATGGCAGCAGCATCAACTTTTCAATTTATTTGGGTAATAAAAATTCCCATAACAGTTCAGAAAATTTCTTGAATGTGTAGATAATACTGTCCTATCCTGTGACTTGAAATTCAGGATAAAGGGGAATAAAGACATGATGCAAAATTTTATGTAGAGTTGAGTCCATTGAACTAGTTATCTGTTTATATGAGAGTATCTCTTTATCACTTTCTTTCTGTCTCCTCAACTGTCCTTGTTTTTATCTCCCACTTCCATTTATTTATTGTTCTGTTCTGTGGTTGTGCAGAAAAGGCTGTCTGGAGCCTTGCATTTAGGGCACTGCTTTCAGGAACATTGTGTAAAATGACTCTGCCTCACATTTCCTCTCAGTCCAGTTGGGTGAGGGATCCTAGGTCTTGGTAGGACTCGGTGGAGGTTGAGAGAGGCAAAGTGGCTCACTATGACTGAATTTCTGTGTAGGGGGAGGCCATCAGATGGGGTTCTTCTGAGGAATTAACTATCTTCATCCCCATTTTTGCATTGGAAAATTAATGTAACGTCATTCTCTATTTAACAACTTTCAAGCACACTGCTGAATACTGTTGGGTGCCTTCACATTATTTTTACTCCCACCACCACTTTCTACTCTAGAAGACTGAGATCAGGAAACAGTGCCTCCATGCTCCCTCTCCAACTCTGGCTCTCACCATTCCCCTTCATTCTCTACAGTTTTGGCTTCTGTAAATAGCTCAGAGAAATAAAACACTGTATTATTTACAATATTGTGTTGGCTTATTTAATATATATCAGCAGTACACAAACTTTTTGGTACCAGGGACTGGTTTGATGCCAATGATTTTTCTATGGATTGTGATGGTTGTGGGTGGTTTTGGGATGATTCAGGTACATTACATTTATTATGTACTTCATTTCTATTATTATTTCATTATAATAAAATATATAGAGTGTACCATAAAGGAAAATATATGGGAGATATGAACTTGTTTTCCTGCAACTGGACAGGCCCCTCTAGGGGTAATAGGAGACAGTGACACATGGAAAGTGTTGCTTAAGTCCCGACTACTCCATAATCTCAATTTGCTTATGGTCATTGAAGAAAACCCTCCTCTGCAAACACAGGATTTTGGAAATGGAAGCAGGCTTTTCCATGTGTTTAATGGTAATGTTAGGCTATTCCACTTTGAGTTTAATTCAGAATGCATGATAATTTGAGGTTTTTCTCAAACATAATGTTAAAACCACCATCATTTGTGATCTCAAGTGGTTGATCTTCTAGCAGGAATAAAGATCACCCAGTGTATTCATGAACAGGTAATGGAGACATTCCTTCCCACCCATATTGGGGATTTACTATGCTTGGGAAGCAATTCTTGAACTCTTTTAAAAACTAGATATGTGATCATGAACAAGATGGCAGAAAGAAATCTCTGGGTCAGTTTCTTTTTTAAAATTTCTGCTAACATTCGAAACACATAGAATAATGCAATGTTTAATCATCACTCCCTTGTCTCAAGTTTGGATTTGAATCCAATCACTTTATCTGCTTATTTGAACACAGTTTTCATTCTCTCCTGAAGTGACCAATTGAGTTTATTGAGCAAGTTGAATGATGGTGATTGTTTTTCTCAAGGAAATCTCTAGAGCAGCTCTTATAGCTCAAAACGCCTGGCCAGTAAACAACTTAGAAATCACCTCTCTTCTGTGTATAAGACAAGGCATGTGGGCTCTGTGTCTGTGCCCTCAGAGAGCTGAGAGCACATATATGAGGTAAAATTGTGTACTTTAATTTGGTGTTAATTTTATCACACTTGAAAAACATTGTTTAGTTCAGGTGACACTGTTGGGCTATCCAGGCTTTCTCTGCAGATCACCAGGGCCTATACTCCTATGCAGAACTAACTTCCTTAACACAATTACTGAGCCCAGAAAGCCATGAACTCATGATATTCCCTCTGTTCATGCATATCCCAATGAAATGATCAATTCAGTTTTCCTGCTATATAGTCATTTGAAGACTTGCATAGTTTTGTAGATGCAGAATTGGTTGGCAACAAAAGTGCACACTACATATCTTCATTTATAACATCCTGAAAAATACTTGGCACAAAACAATCATTATTCTTGTGTGGGCACCATCGGCAGACTAGTCAACCTAGATTGAGCACCAAATGACTCATTAATACTGTCTCAATATCCTCTGATACTCATCAATTTGTCTACAACTGATGCTAGCCAGATGAAGAACACATGCCACCATCTGAACTGCAATCTGTCCTAAATGTTCCTGACAGATGTCTTTAGTGGCAGGCAGAATCCACTCTTTACCAATAGTGAAGGGCTTCTTTCTCAGCTTTAGCAGTGTGGTCAGCCACTGAGAATGATGATCTCAGCACAGACACATTTGATGAAGTGGTTCCTTCTGCAATTGCTTTTCTGCTTCATGTTCATATTTTTTTCTTTTGAAGAATTCTAAACCCTTGTTTTTAAATTTAGAATGTTTGGATTCCATGTGGCAAAGCAGTTTTGAAGTTTTCTTAGCATAGTCGGATAGTTGGTCACCACATATTATACAAAGTGTGCTTGAAGAATGTAAATCACTTCTTTCAGTGAAGCCATAAGGTAAATAGGATTCTTGATATTTACTTTTAAATGCAGCATTCTGTCAGTTAGCTATCTTAGAGCCTTATTGTGTCTCATCATTGAATCTTTCCCCTTTTTTATTTATATATTAATTGGTACATTTTAGGTATACAATGCATTTATATTTATCATTGAGTGTTTGTACCTGAATATTATGTATCTTAGTTGTTATTTTTCCCCATTACCTGTGCGCTCTTCACCCCACCACCCTTCCCTATTTACATAGACTTGTTTCCATTTTTTTCTTTCACATAATTTTTTCTTTCCTTTCTTCCCTTTCCCCTTCCCCTCCTGCCAGCCCTCCAGCTTTGGACCTTTTCCTATTTCAAATTATCAATTATTCATTTTAAACATTTTCATCCTCATTTACACTTTCAGTTTCTCACACTAAAGATACTATTCAGTATTTACACATGTGTGTCCTATTTATTTCACTTAAGAGTATGGCCTCAATATGTGTCCATTTAGCTATAAATGACTCTAGTTTCTCCTTCTTTATGGCTGAGTAGTACTCCATTTTATAAACATAATACCACATCTTCTTTATTCAGTTTCCAGTTGATGGGCACTTGGGCTGTTTCCAAGCTTTCACTATTACAAACAGTGCAATTATAAACATGGGTGCACATATATTGCTGTGGTATGATTCTTTTAATTCTTAGGGGCCTCATGTCCATCTCCACATGACAACCCCACAGCAGTTCTGTCCATGCTTGAAAGTGGGATGTGGAAGGATTCAATAGTCATTGAGGAAAAGTTTAGTTCTACCTTTGATTCTGTCCATTTTACTTCATATATTTTGAAGCTGTGTTTCAAGGATATAAGCCTTTATTATTATATCTGTTTGGTAATTTACCTTTCCATTAGTATACAGCTCTCTTCTTCATTATTTGTAATCTTTTGTGACTAAAATCTTTTTGTGTGTCAATGAAATGTCCACACAGCTTTCTTTTTGTTATTATGTGCATGAATCATCCTACTTTCTCCTTTTGAATTGTCTTACTTCATCCTTTTATATTTAGTTTCTGTGCTTTTTCATTTAAAGTGAATATTACATGGGCACATTGTATAATTGAGACATATCTTGTCTAATCTGGAATGCTCTGCTTTACAGTGAATTTTTAAAAACATTTATATTCACAATTATTAATTATAATTAAGCACTTACTTCTACTCGGATGATCTCCTTTCTTTTCATGACTTTATTGTGCTATAACCTACAATAATGTACAGCTTCAGGCACAAACACACAAACAAATGATGAAGACTAGCTTAGACCAATCACCTCACTTTGATTCAATTTAATTTCAGATGGGGATTTAATTCAGGATATAAAACACCAGTAGGCCTTAAATGTGCAATTTTCCAAGTAAATCTTTGTGCTCCTTCTGTTAAAATATCGAAACCTTTGACATTTGGGATACAAAGCCATAATTTAGTGTTTTTTATGGACCGAGGGAGTGGAGAAGTTTTCATCTTTAGCATCCATTCTTTATGAGGTCCACACCTGTGCTAACCAGCTTTCATCACTGTGACAAAATAGTGAGAAAAACAACAGGAAGAAAGGTGTATTTTGTTTCAGAGTTTCACTTGTTGACCAGCTGGCTCCAAAAAAATGAATGGTACTGGTGTTGTGGAGGAAACCTGCTCATCTCATGACATCCAGGAAGGAGAGAGAGAGAGAGAGAGAGAGGGAGATTTCATGGATGACAAGAATATGCCCTCCTTGGACATGGCCCCCATGACCCACCCCCTTTCTGACATTCAGCTGTGAACTCGTCCATGGATTAAACCATTGAAGAAGGTTGCATCTCAAGACCTAATCATTACAAAAGCCCCACATGAGACCATGAGCTTTTTGAGGAACATTTCTGAGTTTCTGATGCAAACCATAAACCATCTTAATATGTTCAATTACAACATTTAATTTGATTGCATAATTTAAATAAATATTTAAAGGAATTGATAGCTTCTTTTTTTCTTAAATTATTTTATTGGTACATTTTAGATATACAATACATTTACATTTATCATTGGGTGCTTGTATCTCTACATGATGTATCTTGGTTTTCATTTTTTCCCCCATTACCTATACATACCTAACACCTTCCAAGTTTCCTAATTACATAGACTTTGTTTCCATTTTTTTTCTTTTCTCATAATTTTTCCTTTCCCTTCTTTCCTTTCCCATCCCTTCCCACCACCCCTACTCCTTTGAACTTTTTCCTATTTCAAAGAATCACTTATTCATTATTAATCCTTTAATCCTTATTTATACTTTCAGT